TCTCTCTCTCTCTCTCTCTCTCTCTCTCTCTCTCTCTCTCCCTCTCCCTCTCTCCCTCTTCCTCTCAAATTTAAAATTATTTGCAATGTTTTTATTTCAGGACTTCGTTTATCCCGAAATCGAATTCTGAGTCAGAAAAATGAAAACTTTGTACGTAATTTGCTTGGCGGTTCTTTTTCACTCGATCTCGTCGGAAATCATCGATAATGAAAATGATAAAGTAAGTATAAATATACAAACGGTCGACAACGTGAAATAATTTCGGGGATTCTCTTCCTTTTCGTAATATTTATTAAAAATAATTATTGATAATTAATCAGAGGTAATTATAGAAGTGTAGCTATTTTATGACTATTACTCATATAATTCCGCGCTTCATAGCATTTAGAGCAACGAAACTTCTCGTAGATTCACTTAGATGGTATGCTACAGGTACAAAAGCAATACACAGATAGGTTAAAGACGTTGGAAGAAAGAGTTTTATCGCTTACTAAAAACCCTGAATTTTGCAATATGATGCGTACGTGGTATAAAATGTTAGCCCAGAAAATCTCGAATAGTGACGACAAGGGTGAGAAATATCGATTCATAAAAGCTCGGAAAGGAGTAAATTACACAAAACAATCAAAGAACAATCAGAGAACAATCAGAGAAGCAGAGAATGAAAGGCAATTTCGTGATCCGTTTGAGGCTTTGACTGGCGAATATATTCCTAAACTACTTCGTGAAATAAGTAAACTTACCATTGAATTAATTAGCAAATTTACCAAAGAATTAATTCAGGGTTCAGTAAACGATAATAACCCCAACTCAAATGTCCAACTTAAATGCCCAACTCAAAATTTAAATGAGAGTACTTGTGATGTGTTATGGAATATGGAAAAAATTCAGCCTCCTTTAGGTAAGCAGTGTTTGAATTTGAGCTCGATAGGTTTAATTACCAAATTTCAATCTTTTTGTTTGAACAACGTATATAAATAAATCCAGCGAGGATCGAAACAATTCTCATGCTATTTGATCTTACATCAGATAAAACTTCTTATATCCGTTTTCGATGTGTGTATGTTTATGTTTGCGTGTTTAATATACGAAAATATTAGACGGTTAAACAAGTCCGATATTCATTAGGCGCCATGAATTTATTCGCCATGAATAACTAAAGAATCAATTTTCTTCTTACATACGTTACAAATATATTACTTAAATTTATCAAATATATAAACGAATATTATGAGAATTGTTACGCGAATGAATACGTTGTGAATAAATACGCGAGAATATTTTTACTGACCAATCTGTACGTACCAATCTGCAGAACTCATTGACTCGTTGCCGTCGTGCCTTTGTACATATCCCGGTGGAGATATCATTAAAGTCAATGATCAGAAAAATGCAAAAGAGTATTGGTGGCAAAAAGTTTCCAATACTCAGGACAAATGCGGTCCTACCCACTGCTTGAAAATTGAAGTTGAAAATAATGAAAACATAGTTTCGAAATATTGCTGCTATGATGAAAATTATTCTCTGATAACTCGAGGCCCTAATGCCGGCAATATTCACTATTTGAACACTAGTAACCTTAAGAATTTAATACATAAGGCGTTCAAGTCTTACCCTGCAGTAAAATGTAATATTATGAGGTACGTTACACTTACATGGCGAGCAATTCAAGATTTTATTGCATCTATTTCCTTCATCCTTTTTCTCTTTCCCTTTTGCTTTCATCTTCTTCTCTTTCATCTTTAAGTCTTCTCCTTTTTCTTTTCTTGATCTTTTTTCTCTCTTCCTCCTTATATTAGATTTTCAAAAAGAATAAAAACACAACTTTTTAAAAAAGTTTTGTACGTTAACTATTAAATTCAATTTACATTAATATAAATTAATCTAATTTAATTTCTCTTCGAAGTATAAAATTTAACTAAAATAGAATTTGAATTAAATACAAAGATTAAAATTTTTAAAATTTTCTTTTATTTAAAATTAAATTTTATTATACTCATTCATATTGCAAATACAGATAAGCTATATAATTGTTTGTTAATATGTAGCAAAATACATTATTTATTTTTTATTATAGATTAATTAAAAGCATACCAGTGAGTAATGACAACGGATGTAAAGAAAATCCGTACATGCAAATGGAACATCGAACAAGTAAGACTCCGGGAAAAAAGTTTATATATGAATTTTGTCCATATATAGTTATATATGATCATATATAATTATATATGTCGACATTGAAAAGAATATTATTGTGAAGATACAATTGAAGTAAATGCTTATGTTTATAGTAGCCCATGATGTTGACGTTTAATCGAATCAAATTATGTTTTTCTTTTTTCATTTGACAATTTTCGTTTTATATATTATAACATATATAATTAAATATGATCATATATAAAGTCATATGTATGGACAAAATTCATATATTATCATATATATTTATATATAATTATATATACTATTTTTTTCGCTAGGTATATAATCCAAATAAGGAATACAATCAAAGTAAGGAATACGATACAAATACAAACGAAACTATGAAGGAGAAGATATAACAAAGAAATGTTAAAGTGCAATCTTATCATAACTTTTTCTTTTTCTTGATGTTTCAATTATTGATTACACATATATATGTTTAACATGCATATTCAATTTACTTAATGGACGAAAATATATGAACTTGATTTTATGCAACATATACAAATTTTATTGAATATATAATATTCATAAAATAATCTTCCAAGTAACAAGATAATATCAAATAATATCTTATTGATATTAGAAACGTTATTAAGATATTATTTAGATATTACTTGTGACATCACCTTCCTATTTAGACTTATTCTAATCTCCTAACCCATATTCTCACGTTTATTTCTAAATCTTCTATACTAATCATATTCTTATTAAATTATATGTGTGTGTGTGTGTGTGTACATAGATCGAGGGAAAGGTCCTTATGGATAGGACTATATATTTAGTAGTAGAAGATGTCGGATTGTTACACGAAACATTGTAAAAGCCGGAGAACCGAGAAACCGGAAAAATAAAATACAACTAGAATAGGAACGTAAAAATGATAAGACTATCATTTCACAGATATGTTTTAATTAGAGATGCCCGATTCTTAATCGATTCGATTCTTTCCCTAACAAATTTAGGGAAAAAGGGTTATTCGTGCTGCTTGCATGTTTAATACTTTTCGCTTTTAAAAAGAGATGGACGCCTAATCAGATGCTTGGAAGAAACAATCGAGTTAGTTATCTTGCTTTTACTTCTTCCAAACATTCCAATATACTTTCGTCTGGTTTTAAATATGAAAAGTGCGAAGAATGCAAACAACACGAATAAGCCTATTTTTGACGAAAGAATCGAATCGATTCAGAATTGGGCATCTCTAGTTTTAATGTAACAGCAGTTGCAATCAGGATAAAATTTATATTCACACACATACTCATACACACGTTTTTGGCTGCGTTCAGATATGCACCCCTTACCCGGGTGCACTCTAATACTAGAAGTGCTATAGTGTATGTAACATATACTATAGTGTTTCTAATAGAGTGCACCCGGATAGTGAATCTGAACGCACCCTTTTAAGGTGCCTTTACATGGGAGCATCGAGTGTCGAGCGTTAAAGCGGTAGCCAATCAACGTGCCACTTTCCGCAAGAACTACAACTATACTTCTGGGACTTGATACATTGATTGGCTAACGCTTTAACGCTCGACGCTCGGACGCTCTTATTTAAAGATACCTTTACGAATAGATGTCCTGTAGGTTACTGCATATAAATTAGATCGCTTTGTTGTCATGGTTACCATTTGTAAACACTGTATAAACACTGTATAGTGATTATAGTTGTAAGTTTATTATTTGTAAGCTTGATTTCAAGTGATATATATAAGTGAACATAGAAACTTTTCTCTTTACTTTTATATTTACTTCTATTTTTTCTTGCTTAAGTGAAAATTTGTATACCAAATGGATTGGGCTAACGATCTCGAGATTACTTCTAAGAAGGTAACGTAGATAATACTTTAGAAAACAGTATTCTCTACTATTTCAGCATTTTTTAAATATTTTAAATACTTTGCGGTTATATGTACACATATTTTATATATAATTTTATTGACATATAGTTTGTTTTCATATTGTAGATTACAAATAACAATACATCAATTAAATTTAAAATCTATATTTCAATGATTTCAATGAAAGAATCAATTATCTACTAATATAACAATCTAATGAGTCAATCAATTTTCAGTTAGTACCACGCCTAGGTAGGCGTGCAGGTCAAAACAATTTACAGGATGAAAATAAATCTGATGATGATGTTCTGGAGAGTCCAATTTCTTTGTCATCTGGAAAGTCTGTCCCTACACAAAGACCAATAGCACCACCTCGTTCTAGGAAAACTGGCTGGGGTGATGAATTGAAAAGTGCCAAGTATGAGATTGTCTTGTTCAAAAGATATCTTGAAAGCAACAGTATAATTTAAAAAAAAGTTATAATATCTACAACATAAGATGTCTCTTTTTTAAGAAATAGAATAATTTTGATATAATTGAAACATGAAATGAATGAAGTAAATTCATTACCTTGAAGTATAATTAGAATAAGTAATTTCTTTTTCATTACTTAGGTCAAAGACAGCATCAAATATTATTGAACAGTGAGTATAATGCATAAAATTAAAGAATCAGACATCTGTAGTCACTGACAGACTGTTTCTTAGGGAACGTTTTCGAGCATTAGAGAAGGAGGAGTTAGAAGATGGTAAGTCTGGAATTAATGACATTAAAGGTGATTTACTTTAATTGGATGTAATCAAAGAATTTCTTTATATCATTTATGTGTTCTTAATTATATAATCTATAAATAATAAAGAATATACTTATGATCATGATTAATCAGTTAATATCAAATATAGTTAATTCTTTTTATGTTATTCTTTCTCTTTGGCATTGTTATCTTTTATGTTTAGATATTCCTGTAATACCAGATTTGGATGAAATTCAGGAAGATAATATTTCACCTGAAATTGCAAGTGCTCCTACGTGAGTATTATTTATTCTAATATTCATATTACGACTTAGAAAAGAGTAAATCTTTTAATGAAGGAAGAGAAATTTTTTATAGGGATGTTTTTTTACAAAAGAATTAACTAGAAATATAATTTTTTCAGAATTAACGCAAATCGTGTAACTGCGTACGAAGAATTGGATACAGATCTAGTAAAAAACGCGGCATTTACATCACTGGACGGTGTCAGCCTTTCACTACTTGCAGATAAACTTTATAATGAAAACTTAGTAAAGGAACCAGATGAAGTTTGGAATTGGAATCTTCTTTTTACGCAAATTTCTTCTGAAATTAATAGCGAAACACAAAAAAAAATCGAGTCTTAAGATCACATATAAAATTATAAAGTACGTCGTTAGTATAAAGTGTGTTTTATATTCTTGAGGAAAAACTAAGCATCACATACCTAACAAAAGTTATCTTTACTATATCATTTAACTGTTTTGTCTCAATCTTAATTCTTGAACTGAATCCAGATGATAAAAATATCAATATCAAGTATATGAAATGAAAAAGTGAAATATATAATCTTTTTTTCTTATAATTTCTTTTACTAACTTATATATATATATTATTTAATACTTATATATAATTTATTTAATATACAATATGTGGGACATGGAAAGAAATGTAAGTCTAATCTAAAATGTTACATAAAATTGTAAAAGCTTAAATATGCTACTAAAACGATGTATATTTTTATATATTAAAATGAAAAATAAAATTTAGTATTCTATGAAAAATGTTTCGAGTATATTGCGTCATTAATTTTTTTCATTATAGGAAATAAAAGAAAAAATTTCTTATATCCAAGAATTATTCTACAACAGAGAATATTAGATCTGTATAATATTATTTACAGGTCTTATATAAGTTAATAAAAAAATACTTTTATTACGGCTTTCTGCAATATTTCTGTAAATTATATATTTCTAATTCCGCATTGAAAAAATAAATCAAACATCAAAAAATGGCAGACTACCTTCTTCAGGCAGTGCCTGTATATGGAAGCGACTAATTATGACTCGTCTGACCTACTCTCGATTTGCCCCCCAATTTGGAAATCGCGGCGGTTCGAGGAGCGACTTGAAAGACTCAACCGTGCCGGCGTGCAAATCCGAGGTGTGAAAACAAGCCACGAAGATGCACGCGCAATCGGGAGTCGAATCACAAGAAGCTACTTGAAGCGACTTCATCACACGTGACAACACCCACTGAGCAGATCTGCCCTACGTTAAGCGATCAATGTTCAGCTGTGCCATCACTAGCACACACTTCCGTCAAAAAGTCTGTGGAAGGTAGTATATATCGAATTTATTTTCTACAATGTACATATGAGTGTAACACTATAGAACATGGTAATAATACCGTACATTAATAAAATTTCATATTTTTACAGAACATTTTATTAGGTAGTTGTGAGTCTTACATTTTTATTATTAATACAAATTTTGCAATTGTTAATTTAAAATATTAAATTTTAAAGGTCGATTGTTAAGATATTTGCCATCTTGCGGCGTTAACATATAAAGACAGAGCCGGTTAAGAGCATAGACTATATAATATTAAAGATCCGTAGTAAATCGTGAATAAATTTTCCCAGTTCAATATACACGTATATGTGTGAGAAAATAGTTTTTAAAAATATTTATAAATATTTCTATTTAAATTTAAATATTTTTTTATTTATATTTATTTTAATAAATATGACTAGTTAAGAAACAGTATTATCTTTTTCCTTTCTATCTCTCTTTCTATTAGATCACTATGCTACGCATTAGAATTGGAGGTTGATGTAAGATTTTAAATTAAAATTTAAGTTTTATACAACGAGGTTTAAATTATTCATTAAAATTGTACGTTTGAAACCAGAAATTGATTAGTCAAGGATATTGAATAGGGAATTCTAGAGAAATTGGATGTTGGTCGTAAGTTTAGCAGAAAATTTTCAAGTTGCACGACACAACCTCAGACGACGTGTTGTTTATCCCTTGAATCACTCTCTCCGTACGTATTTTAACACGTTCACTCTGATTTCCTGATATAAATCGCAAATGTAATAGACAATCATGTCGTTGGACCAGACAGTATGCGAAGGTAAAAGTATATACGTAAAAAACAATAAATATTGTTTTATAGTAAAAATACGTGTGAATTTGTACAAAAAGGATTAATTATATAAGTAACTGTCACTAATTAATCTTAATCAGCAATAACATTCTTATGTAAAAATTTTAGATTAGAGATATAATCTTAGATAGTGAAAAAAAATTCAGTTAGAGCACCAATTAATATTATACTATTTCTTTTATCTCTGGATGAATAAATATGACCTACTGATTTTAAAGTTACGTTTTTCCTCCTTCAGTACCTGTTTCTGCACTTTCAGACCTGAAGGCTTTTGAGAGACGGCTGACTGAGGTTATAGCTAGCCTACAACCTGCAACATTAAGATGGAGAAGTATATATTCTTACTTTTTACTTTTGATCTAAGTATTTTAATTCTATTATTTATATTAATATCATGGATATTTGGATATTCTTACAGTGCTATTGGGTTTTATCTCAGTTTGTACTGCTGTGGGTGCTTGGCATTGGTTAACAGACCCTAATACATCGGCAGTATCCTTCACACAAAGTCTATGCAATCATCCATTCTTTACTATGGCTAGCATAATATTAGGTAAGTGCAAAAACTTTTTTTTTTTATATAACTGATATGTATTTTGTAATTGTCAATTAATTATTTTATAGTGATATTGTTTATGATGGGAGTACATAGACGTGTAATAGCACCCAGTATTATAACTCAACGTGCCAGAAGTGTTCTTGGTGATTTCAATATGAGCTGCGATGACACTGGAAAATTGATTCTAAAGCCTACAAGACCTCCACATCCACATGAGACTTAAGAGTAATACATTTTATTCAAATAATGATTTGGAATGTTCATAACTCTACTAAATGTGAATATGGAATGTTGATCTTCTTGGATATGTTGTGTGTATACTGTGAGATTTACTATAAGATTATGACAAATGAGAAACTTATCTATTTTGAATTTGAATTTAGTTAAACTGTACATATATAATCCTGTAAATTCTTTAAAATCTTTTATTATGTACAATGTCTATATATATTGTGACAATTTAAAATGTTCAATACTTTTTAAAGGAATAACGTATCAATTGTATATTTAGGAAAACTCATTGATCACTAGTGGATTAGATTTATTTAGGTAAATCATGAAATTGATGTTAGAGACCCAGCAAATCATGTAACGTATACGTAGCAAAATTGACATATATGTTGGACATGTTGATATATTTTGATATAATGTACATATAGAATGAATCGATATTTGTACAGTTTAGTAAATTGCATAGAAAACTTTATTTTAGCAATAAGATAGTAGTCAAACTGTAATCAAATCATCTGTCAAAGGTCTTCTTACTTGAATGAGTTTATAAATTTCACAGTCCATGTAAGTCCTGTGTTCAAATAGTTAAGATGGTAAATCAAATGGATTATGCATCACCATCTGTATATAAATGCCTATTCATAAGTGCTCAATGTAAAATACGCGTTTTCCAATAGAGTTAAGTAAATGCGTGATATCCATTAAAGATCAAGAAATGGATTGTTGTAATGGTTCCAATATACAAAAAATCCATATTTATGGATGACATAACAAAATAGTCAATTAGGACTATCTATATGATAATATCTATGTTAATATATATGCTGGTGATACGACAAGATTTATTGTATTTATTAGAATGATTATAATATAATTTTTCTTTATACAAACCACATATATCTTGGTGTTTTTATGTTTATAATAAGTGTACAATCCTTTGTTAACTAAGAATATGGGAACTGCTTTACCATCTTTGTAAGACAGCAAAATACCTTATTTTGTAGTGTAAAGCTATACAGGAAAATTCGCGTCATTTCCACAAGAAGTAAAATACTAGAGGCACGGTGTATATAACGATCAAAACATTTAATTGTAATTTGTTGCATATTACAATATTATTTTCCGCGCAGCCCACATGATTTACGCGTATTTTCTTAAAATAATACATGTACATTGTTGCATCTTTACGCGGAGACTGCTTTCTCGTCGTCAGTCTCGATATTGTATGTACTACATTGGTATATATATGTACAGGTAATGCTTACTCGATTTGTGAGAGCAATCTCTTGATGATTACCGATGAACAGTGATGACGTGATAAAAAATCACGTGGTAAGACTTTTCAAATAATTAATAACAGAGTCGATGTCCAAATAATTATAAGTTCCGTCACGATACGTGTCATATATGCATACGAATGTATTACCATCAACTTAGCAGGAAGTGTCCAAGTAACACGTCAGTTGTATGAATCTCATAAAGTACGATTTATCATTTTGAGGTATTTCTATGGTCATCATCGATCCGTTGGCATGCACTTCGTAACTCATATATAACGGTTGCTATATATTATATCACATTATACACTACTCAAAACGATTAGAGAATCATTTTTTCGAATGATTGCATCAGTAAAAGTCTAAATACTTTTGGTATTCAATTTTCAATAAACACATTTAAAATAATATATTTGAATAAGTGTAATATTGCTTCATTTCCTGATTCTACTTAGTTAAACCTGCAAGTACCATTCGATAATATAGGCAATTAATTCGTTTTGAATATTGTATATCACTCAACTGATCTGAGTTAAATCCGTTTATATTGATTGGTACAAAATAAATTTGATAAAATTAATAATGTGATGTTAAATGAATTTTATATTTTGAACAATATATTTCGAATTTCTCAGTTCGTTATATCGCAAGAACATTATTATCTTTCTTGCGTTTCTTATGCTGGAATCGTTTCTTCATCAATTCATTCAGAAAAGCGAATTTTCGTTGGTTCATTCGCTATATTTTCTCATGAAGAAAGCACTTAGAAGGAGCTAAACAACTTATCACGTAACGTACAAAATCGAGAGTTATATTACACGAGCAATTTGCGTAGCGATTTGTATTGCTCAAACATGTGCAGCCGTTACTAACATGTAGTCATAATGTCTCGCCTCGTTTCTCAATATTTCTCTCGTTTTGTAGTTATACTTTATATCTCATTTTAATATCGAATTTATCAAATGTTTCTCTTGGTAGTACAAAGTCATCGTGGACGACTCTCCTTTTATCGATGTAAAAAGAAAAAAAATACTTGCTGTTCCACGATTCGTATTCTTCCCTATCGGCGACATTAAAGTGATAAAAACTATAAACGCAACTGTCACGCGCGAATGCAAGCTTATACTAGTGCATGGAAAACAGATCTCCAGCGGAGGGAAGAGGTGCTAGGCCGCCCGTGACGTCCGGCAATTGCGTCAAGTCCGGAAGATTTGAAATGTGAGACTTTACCTCCGTTCGCACTGTGCAGACTTTCTTCAGTTTTTCTTTATAGTCCTAGAACACACATAATAAATCCATGATGTTATCGATAAGATGCCAATAAATTAAGTAATTGTAATAAAAAATAATATCGTATAAGAAATAGAGTAACGTACGATAATTTAGATCTATATCTTTTTTAATAATCATGCTTGAGTCTTCGTAAGCTACTATTAAAGAGCTACATTATTTTAGAAATAAAAGATGCGTTATATCTCTCTACTATCTATGATACTATCTATGATACAGTCTCTCTCAATAATTAACGCTTATACTTTTATCTTATATCTAACTTTAAAAGTGCTCATTGATCTTAAAAAAAATCTTAAAAAAATTTGTCCTATACTTTAGATAAATCTTTAGTTATTGTTTATTATTATTGTTTTATTCGCATATACCAGATTAGAATGTCAAAAATTTATATTATAGAACAGAAGCAGAATTATACCTCTAAAGTGCTTTGCGCTTGCTGAAGTAGCTGTCTCTGTGCCAAAGTGTAGTCTCGAAGCATCGTTAACAATCTTCTCCTGTCCTCCATTTCGGCTTGCAATCGTCCATTATAGTCAGCAAGAAGAGCAGCGGCTTCGTTCACCGCAACGCTTAATTGATCCGCGGCCGTTCGATCGGCGAGATTTGCGAGCAAAGAGACTTCCGACACTTCCGGTGGTAAGGATGCGATACGCTCCCTAACACCGGCGTCCGACGACGCGGTATTTTCCAGATCCTGAAAAGCAAAAGGATCTGTTAGTTCCCACCCTAACTCGCGTATATCTCATAAAAACTAGCATCCCTCATTCAATAAAACACATTCGGCTTGTAAACAAATAATAAAGCACATCCTAGATACTATTATAAATAAAAAAAACCCAACCAACTAAACACACTATTGAGGAAATAAAATAGAGTATAATATTGTCAATATTATACCGAAATAAAACATTGATCAAACACTAAGGCAATCCACTCAGTATGTTCTGAAGAATGACGTTTTTCTAGAAACCAAAGGAAAATACAGACAAGATTCATCGTACGCTCCATTCAAAGCGAAAGAAAATAAATGGCAATGGAGCCAAATGTAACTTAAGTAATCGATGAAGGTGGATGTGTCAAAATTATAATATTTGCCGTTACATGCCCCATGTGTGGATTCAACATTTATTTTGATATGAATAAAATATTTTATTGTTAACGATACAAGTTCGGCAAGATGGTTGTTTATATAATTGATATTAACCATTAGGGCCTTTATGAGCTCCTCAGTTTCTGGTGGATCGCCAGCTGGTGTACGAGGACTCAACGTTACATGAAGCTCTTTGGTGCCATCTACCTCCACTTCAGTCTCAGACTTCTTCCTCTCTTTTTTCTCCTTCTGCAAGCATGTGAAAGTAATATATAACTTTTCTGTCATTTTATACATGTTGTAATTGAATCAGGTAATTTGAAGACATTATTCAAGTAAAAACTGCTGCCGAAATAGCTTGCAGTGCAGATGTTACATGAATTCATATTATTTTTGTGTAGATTATATCATATACTTGTATTGCCTCCAAGGTGAACATTTTCATTATATGTAGAAACATAATTTAGTATAATATAATAATAGTATAATTTAATAATATATATACCTTTATCTTCTCAATATCGAGTTTTGCTTTCTTCCGTGGTGGTGGTGTTCCTCCATCTTTTATCGTATCTGTAAAGGCTGTTTTGAATTCTGCCATCAGGGTTTTATCATAAACTCCTCGTTCCTCCCAGATCTGTAATAACCTATTCAATCGCCCTTTTGTTTTTTCATCAAAACCCTTCATATGTTCAAAGGCCTTTGTGAGAACTGTCTCAAATTCTTTCCCAAATTCTGGTCCTTTCTTCTTGCTATTCTGGATGACATCATTCGCCAGGTACATAAACATCAACTTCCGATTGTCCTTTGCTGCAAAAATATTTGGAGTTGTAATAATATACTAAGAATGATTCCTACATAAAAATTCCAGATTACAAAGCTAATATGTAGCTAATGAGATTACAAAGTTAATATGAAGATATAGTAAAATAAATTAATACTAATCATGTCTTTGTGATATATTTTATTTTGTAATATATTTCCTATTATATATGTACCTCTATTGTTACAAACACATATCCTATTTTTAAACATATTCTTTACATACATATGTGTATGTACATAAGATACTAGATATGCTGCTTGCTTAGAAGTTACATACTAAAAACAAGTATATGAATGGAAATTATTTACTTCCATAGTAATATTAATACACAGTTCGTGTTATCGTTATTTTGTACAACAAAAAAAGCAGTGACACTGCAAAACGTTAGCAAAAATATATCACTAGGTATCTGAGAAATCGATTCGACATTATGCAAGATTTGTTTTTTCAGTGTATCCTTGTCTTATTAATACTCGAATAAGATCAACAACACGAGTCTCGTCTTCGAATCAGGGCCTGCTGAAACAATCATCCGATTTTTTCGCGAATATCAGTCGAGACAGACAGAACTTTTCGAACCACGTGGAAACGTTAACGAGACGACGCGATCAATCAGCGACAAGCCGCAATTTCGCAGAGAGAAACGCTCGTCCGTCACGCGATGCAGCATAACCTAACCTAAAAGCTTCAACGATTCTCGACCCGGACGTCGAGCGTTGTCTCGATTGTTCACTCGCAAAAAGAGCATTGCGGCACGGCAGATTCACAGGAATGACTCGTTGTATGTACCTTTACACATCTCCTTGAACCACACCTTCACGATCGTCGGATGATGTTTTCTATGATGAATGAGCCAGAGCGACAACGTCTGGATACTCTGCTGCGAATTGTTTAGATCCATTAACCGCTTTACCAACGCGCTTTCCGTGAAACCCGTCATTGCGTTGATCCTTGCACAGTTTGTCAGAACAAGACTGACTCTCGAACACGCCTCGACTTCTACAAGTTTCTCTCTTTCGTATTGCAAAGATCTACACCACAGATGTTACTCTCATGGAAGCACTACACGGAGTGACGCTAAGCCAACAGCTGAAGCCGAAATGTAAGACAAACAGCGCCTCTTACGGATTTCGATGGTTACTACGGAGCCAAAAGGCTCTGGTTGCTTTTCAACAAGAGACACAAGTCGACACAAGTCGACACAAGTCGACACAAGTATTATCCTATATTTGTTACTCACTAAATAAGGAACAAAGATAGAATGATGTTTGTGTCGACTTGTGCCTCTCGAAAGCAACCTCTGTTCTAAGATTGCGTTCCAAAACGTCATTTTTTAGGAAATTTTACTCGATACTCTATAGTATATGTAATGTGAGAAAACTATAGGTATTGAGTAAAATTTTTTTTAAAAAGAACGTTTTGGAATGCAATCTAGAACACTATTGTATTAATAAAAAGTATATCTTTGTAATTTTAAAGCTGAGACAAATTAACGCGATCATATAGAAAGAATACTTAAAATCGAACGATTCCTATCAGAAAAAGTGCGTGTTAACTAAATCTCAAATATATCGAAGTGGGTGAAGCCTCTTTTCCACGATTGGCCGTCTCAACCGTCTCGATTATCTCGATCCCGTCGCAGTTGAATTCGTGCCGCTTGCAGCTGTCAGCCGCGGTGATAGATCAGGTTGTGTTGTTCGCGTCATATAAATTTGATATTTATTGTAATCCCAGCAAACACATATTACATGTATATGTATATAAAATATGTAAATATGTAAATAATAAATAAATTTATATGTTAAATGTTTTTCAGCTTCTAATGGTTTTTTTACTGGAAACATCATAAATTTCCGTTGCTTACAGTTTTCGAAAATTTTGTTTGCAATAAGAAAAAGTTAAGGACAAACAGTAAGAGCTAGCACAAACATATATCAAATAGTCAATTTAGAAAAAATTTAGAAAAAAGGGAAAGTTCTTTTATTCACTGTCATCGTTATTTAAGGTTGCTCAAAGTTATTTAAGGTTTACCACTTATATCGCAGATCATAAAACTATTTACACAAGAACAATGTTATCTTTTTCAAGATTGAGTTTTTGTCGAAGATATAATACATTCTAATCTCAAAGAATTCAGTATTCTGTATTCAGACGGAGAGAACATTTATGTTTGAGAAAAAAGGAATTCTTCTCAAGCAGTATATCCCACAATGGCAGTAAATAAAAAAACTCTCCCTTTTTTCTAAATTGACTATTTGAAATATGTTTATGCTAGCTCTTACTGTTTGTCCTTAACTTTTTCTTACTGCAAATAAAATTTTTGAAAACTGTAAGCAACGGAAATTTATGATGTTTCCAGTAAAAAAACCATTAGTAGCTGGTAAATCGAGAAACAGATTTTCTTTAAAAATGTTATTAATGTATTCTTTAGATTATCACAAAAATATAATTTTTATAGACAAACTTGTACATTACAAATGTCGTATTACAACTAACATGTACGTTATATGTAACATTGTGTTTGCTGGAAATATAATTTGTAAAAATTTTAATTTTGTAACATTTATTAAAAAACAACTACTATTAATTATTAAAATTATAAAATAATTAATTAAAATAATTAATTTCATATTATTTTTAAAAATTATTTGTCTTTGAAAAAAAATAGTAGAACCAATATTTATTACTCACAACATGATTATAAGCTATTCTAGAATAATTTTTGAATAGAAACCATCCGGACTCGAAGTACCCATGTAGAGCCATTAAGGGTTAATTCTCTGTGCTGAGTTATCTATCTGCTTTATGGGCGTCACAAAAAATTCGTTAAAAAGAGTTATTTTTTTTCACTTATATCTAGACTCTACCTTCCTTATATTTTCTTTTACTTAAAAGAAATATTTCCGGAAGCTAGAACATAGGCATAAGCAAAATAAATTATTAAAAAATAAATTATTAAGCAAAATAAATTATTTTTTACTCCGACTTACGCCAAACTTATAGTAGACTAGCCTTTAGAGAATACATAATATTAAATTCAACATTGAATCTCTCACGTAGTAGGAAATCACTCATATGATAACTATCGTTTTCGTTTTTGCGAGCTACTACTCGTGGTAAAGTGCAAGTCGCTGGATTTTCTGCTTTTTTGGAAATAATTCATCGGTTGGGTGATCGGCAACGTGCGCGGTATGATGGACGATAGCATTTGGCGGTATAAAACAATGTTCAGGAAAAGATCGACGGAACGACACTATGGTAAGTCGATTTAAAACAATAATTTATTTGTATATAATATTATCTTACCGAATGACTATATATCTAATGGACAGGTTATTATATACAGTACGTGCGACCGGCTAGACTCGAAACAATAATTTATTTCGCACAGAATTATATCTTACCGCTATGTCTAATGGACAAGTTATTGCATCTCCTCATTAGATACCAGCAACTTCGTCGCTTATTAGTAAGTCGATAGAACATTCATAGTGCACTCTCCGCTATTATATTTACACATTTCAATTGCAATAAAGACGAGCTTGTCGAGCTTAACATCTTTAAATAATTAATGAAACAACTTGGGCTGTTTTTTGTTATGTCCCAATTTTTTCTTTTGTAATGAAAGAAATTTTTTAAGAAGCAAAATTTCACGCAATACAACGATTTCCCATTCTTCACTTATCAGAGAAAAATCCGTGAATCTCTATCCAGTAAACTTGCTGACGTCAAATAATATATTAATGACGCATTAATAATGTCTCTAACATTATTAAGAGGCTATTCAACAATTATACATACTACGAGCGGGACAATCTATTCGCTTGCGTAACAGTCTATAATGACAAGAAGGGAAAAGAAATAAAGGCCATATATAAAACGTCACATGTACCCTATATTTAGATTTATATATATATTTCTATAAATATTATATTCTAAAAAATAATTTAATTTTATGTTAATAATAAAAATTTTAATTTTGAAATATTTATTAAAAACAATTATTACTAATTAAAATTATAAAATAATTAATTTCATATTATTTATAAAAATTATTTATCTTTAAAGGAAAAATAATAGAACCAATATTTATTACTCACAATATGATTATAAGTTATTTTTGTTTGTTCTATGTGAGAAAGAAGCGGGTAATAATTCCACATGTTATGTAATATTAAAAAGAGGCTCAAATTTTACAACGAAGTATATGACTAAAGAGAACAGAGAGATAAAAAATATTCAAATTTCATATGACATAATTGTTGTATGGCTTGTTAACGTCTAATTAATACGTTTTTTGAAGTCACTTTGCTACTTGCGTCTTTGCCAATAAAATATAATCAAATATTAAATTCGATATAGAGAGAAAGGATGATCGTTTACATATTAGTATTTTTCCCTGTTTTATATAATAATTTCCCTGTTTTAATAATCGAAATAAATCAATATTTCTATGAATATTGGATGTCATCGAGCAATACATATATCAATATACATTCACAGTTAGGAAACAGTTACGTTGAGTGGAATTTTGCGTTTCTAGAAATTCCCTTGTACAAAAAATTACATCAATATTCAATAATATAGTAGTAGGAATACCGGTGTTATAACGGTATTGTGTATGTGTGTGTGTGCGTGTGTGAAAATTTCGCTTTTACAGACGGTCACTGGTATAACAGTATGTACAATCAAATGTTTAAAGATTGCAACACTTTTATTTCGATGAATTTCGCGACGCATTACGTATTCAATAAGAAAATTTGTTTTTTAGGAATTCTCAGGTCATACACTTTTTTACTAGATACGGGATGCGTTGCGGAACTCTCTCATCAAGATAAATATGTTCCAACATATGTTTAAGCATCTCACTGTACGAGATCGGTCAAGTATCACTAACGAAATTATTTCGACATTTAATCTCCGATGAAAGCCACTTCTTTTCCATGAAAATCACTTCTTTCTTTAGTAAAAACGATGATAATTATTCAACATTGCAAACATAATTCTTTTAATGCCATATCTATTATATAGAAACAGAGGAAATTTATTATATTCAGATTTGTTTAATTTCTGAAACTTAAGTTAACGTATATAACATAAATTTAACAGCACGTTACAAGAGACTTGTATATATTGCATATATACATATGTGCACAGGTGCATATATATTTAAAACGTACATATTCACGTACATTGCTTTAATCTTGGCAGTCAGACGAATTTTGGTAGAGTAGTCAATTGACACTCGCTTTCGATCGCATTATCGCAAGATTCAAATAAAAGAATGCGAATTAAGATCTGTGTTCGCTTTTACGATCGCAATCATAAAATTATCCGTGCTCGCGCGAGAAACGCTAAATAAATACCGCACACTTTCATCAAACTTAACACAAACGAGAACTTACGTTCCGTAAAAAGACACTCCCAAAGTGGAAATCGGCAAAACGCTTCGACGATAAACGAGAAACCACCTTCCTGCCCGTGTCGCGTGGTCTTGTATCAAAGTCCCTATTATCAATGCGTAAAAAACTAACCATCTGGAGTGAATAGTATAAGCGGCATATTCCCGTCTAATTAATACTGTATCGAACTTCGTCGGCGTCGTTCGCAACATCGTTGATGAACTTTGAGCAACGTGTTCGGGAAGCATCTATCCGGATAATAATACCGACGTTTAAACGACGTCTCAATCTCTCAAACGTCACATAGACGTCCGTCGGAATTTTGGCTGGCTGTCTCGTAACACCTCGCAAAGTTCGCAATTATCGATATTAGTCAATGCCATTTGCAATAAGGATCGCGGCTAATGACTTCGCACGTAGTAGACCAGATAACCGAGGGCGATTTGATCACTTTCTTGTCAGTATTATCTCTGATCGTTTTCTTGTTAGTAGCAATAGAGTGACAGTATAGCGGTGGTATTATGATAATGGTGCTGCAGCAGTATAGTACGGTGATTGTGTATCGATGCGCAACGCGTTAAGGTCTTCATTATAGAAGCACCGCTAGTGCCGCTCCGGTAAATTATTGCATTCGTCGTGCACCGACTGCTGGCCATATTCCGGCAGTTTGGAATCTTACACGAGGAGAGAACGTAATCGCGTGAACCGTCGTAAAAAATATCTATACAATATCCGTATCCAAGCGTATTCTTAACTATATCGATAACAAACCTAATAATTTATCCAACGGATTCCCAAGAATTAATTAAGTCTAGGTCGGAACGAAATATAATATCGACTATCTCAGTCGACGAAGAAAATCACGACTCCGTCTTGCCGGAGGCCGTTTCGCTGTCGACTTCCGTCTTTAACTTCTGTTCATCTTGTGGGCGTCCGGAGGTCTCTTCGCGTTCTTCTTGTGCTACCCGATCATCCACGTTCACTTCTTCCTCTTCTTCTTCGTCGACCTGCATTACTTCCTCTTTCACCGCCACGTTATTCTCGCAATTGCGCGCCTCAACGTCGCGATCCTTGGTCTCGTGCGCGTTTTCGGTCGATGAAAGGTCCTCTCCCGGACGGTGGAAGGTCAGAATGTGATGGTCCAGCTCCGTTGTGAAGAAGAACTTGAGCGTACACTTAGAGCAATCGTAGGGTCGCGCACCGAGGCCGTGTTCTTGCACCATGTGATTCTGCGAAACAATTCACGTTAACATTCACGAAATTATCAACAGTTTGAAAAACATCTTTATTGCAATCGAAATGTAAACAGGAAAATATGCGACGACGCGATAACAAGATACGTCATCCAAAAACAATCGACATTTACGCCACGAAGACTCTTTTGTGAAATGCGTATTTTGTTAGCCGAAACTTTGTTCGAAAAATAAGGGAGATAAACAATGTGACAGCAGAAAAAAATAACTCTTTTTAGCGAATTTTTTGTGACGCCCATAAAACAGGTAAATAAATTAATGAATTTGCATTGCATTAGTCATCTTTTAAATTGTTGAAAAATATTTTTCTATTTGATGAAATACATTTTTATTTTGGTATAAAATGTGTCTGTAGTAGGCTCTGCAAGTTCCATCGACTCTACACCTGGAATTCTTAAAAGTCATCTGAAATAAAAAAACCTAAGATTTTCTTAAGAATCTATGGCTTGAAAAAGAAGACAATTTTTGGGAATTTTTTCGAGAAAAGTAATGAAGATACATATTTCATTGTTTCTACATGTTATTTGAATGACATGTTAATTGAACCGCAGAAAATGTGTTTTGATGCGAATTGCCAAATAGTTTTATTGTAACTTTCATTGTTATCCTGAGCGTAATCTCATCCGTGACATTGATTTAATAAATCCTATGATGACAAATCCTCGTAAATGGGCCGAATAACTTCTTCAATCTTGGTGTTAAGAGGGGGAGGGGGAGGATGATCAAAATCATCAAGAGTTCCAGCATCGCCACTTACACCATGAATTCGGGCCCGGCGAACAGCGATCGTGCATCGGTTTGTCGTTCATCGAAATTTTATGTCCAAATGTGGCCCAAACGTCATTAATCATATTTTACTTGCCGTTCCGTGACCGTCTTGCGCTGCCCGCTTGCAGCACGTTTTCGTGCCCATCTCGACTATTGTATCGTTGATTTTATTACACTGTTCTTATTAAGTCAAACATCGCGCATTCTCTGCCGCTTTAACTCAGCAAAACCGCCTTTCTAGCGAACATAAATCGTCCGTCCTATACCTGTAACACGCGCTCGCTACCTGCTTGTGCATGATCATCTTTAATGCTTCGTAAACCTTTTTTATCTTTCGGAGTTCCATTCATATACTTTAAGAAAATCTTGGGTTTTTTTATCTCAGGTGACTTTTAAGAATTCCAGGTGCAGGGCCGATGGAACTTGCAAAGCCTACTACAAACACATTTTATAAAAAAAAAGATATATTTCATCAAATAGAAAAACATTTTTTTTTCAACAGTTTAAAAGATGACTAATTCGATGGAAAAACATTTATTTATTTATCTGCTTCATGGGCGTCACAAAAAATTCATTTAAAAAACTATTTTTTTCGGTCACAAAAAATTCATTAAAAAAACTATTTTTTTCGTAGTGTTTATCTCCCTTAATGCGTGTATTTGTAAATAGAATTTTCTCTTAAAGACTGTTTATCTCTCTTAATGCGTGTATCTATGAAAAGAATCTTTTCATCTCAATGGGTCAATTCTTTGAGAATTTGTCTGTTAGTTTTCCTTTAAAGATATTTTTCCACTACAATTTTATATTATAGTTTCGTTACCTGAAGGCCAATAGGGGCTGTAAAAAGCGCCTGACAGATGTAGCAGTTAAAAGCAGGACAGCCGGCAAATGTGTGTTCTATTAAATGACTTTGTAACTGCAAAGGGCTGGTGGCCTCAAATAAACATAAATGACATCGTAAAGATTCCAACGAAGCTTTTGTAGGAGTTTCCAGATGTTCTTTTCTTACATGCTGTGCGACCTTGGCTTCAGTCGGGAAGGATACCTAAGAATTTTAATTTTTACCTTCTTTCACAAATATATAATAAATACATAATTTTTTAAATAATATTATTATTGAAATTAAACAAAAAAAACACATGAATCGTCATGAAAAATTACATTGGTTTCATATTTATTTATTTTAATAAAGTGAAAATTAGAACGTTTATTTTCGTGCAATGTCGTGAATTTTATAATATATTATTTTATATTTTGTTAGGAAATGATATGTTTTGTCGGAAAGTGTGGACTTGAAAAGGACCCTGCACAACCTTATGGACAAACCTGCACAAACCTTATGGAAATTGAATTTCGGTCGAATTGGCTGAAGATCTGATATGTTGTAGATCTTGTCGCCCTGATAAAAAGTCTCTACAGATACGATCCCCTGCAATGAATCGTTTGACCTCTACGAGGCGTTATTTTTCAAAACAGGCTAATACTACAATATCTTATTTTCAACGGATACAGTGCATACCTACATCATTATTTG